TAGGCGCCGAGCCACACCTCATCAAATTTTAAAAAGATAAATTAAATAACTTTTGATGTGTTTTCATGAAATCACAACCTAGTTTTTGTAAGACAAGGGAATTATGAGTTATTGTCAAAATTAATAAAATTAATAATACAGATATATTACGAGATTTGAATGGGGACAGAGCAAAAGGCACACAGGGAGGTAAGAAAGAGAGGGATGAATTTGTAAAAAGAGAAGATACAGTCCTTAGAGGAGAATCAAAGTAGAAAAAGCAAAAAAAAGGAAAAAAAAGTATTGAATAAGACACATTAAACACATAAACGTGGACTAAAGTATAAGCTGAGGAGCAAACAGCAAAGAAAAAAAAGAAAATTTTCATTGTGAATTCCAAGTAACTAAAATTGAAACATCATGTTTTTATTCAAATGAAATGGAGCCAAATAGAACACGGAATTGGAAATGTAAAAGCTTTAAACAAAAACAAATGGGGATTTAAATTTCAACAAGAATAAACTGCATAATCGGCTGAACCACTAGAAAGTCATAATGAATCTCAATCAACACAGGCCATCTGAATGGAGGGACCGATCCTAGTAATTATGGACCCATAAAAATAAAAAAGGGTCACAGCAGAAAGAGTTTTAAAATAAAATGGCAAAATATTTCACCAGGAAGAAAAGACAGATTACGTTACTCTCAACATACTCATATTAGAAGTTCATAATCTTTTCTGGCTTTGTTTTCCTTTGGCTCAAAGTAAAAAGGGCTAAGTTTAATCATGCTACTCAGTTCAGAGTTCATGTAGTCTGTTTTATATTTTTTAAAAAGTTCAGGAAATTAACCCAAATGATGTCAAATGTGACAAAATTGGTAACCCAGGTGCCTATCCTTCACAGCCATACAATCCAAATGGCTGCCTGGCCTCTGGGGCAGCAGCAGCAGCCACCCCTGGGACCACACAGCTTGCTGGAGAGCAGGACAAGCAAAGCATGAGCCATGCTTACTCCTAACAATACTGGCTGAGGCTGAGCCCCTCACTCCCACGGCCTGAATTATATAAGTCTTTCAGAATTGTCACTACTCTTTGTCACCTAACCATGGAATCTGATTCTATTTTTACCAAGCAGGCTGTAGGTCGTAACAACAGAGAGATTTTCCTCAAAGAGTCAGCTGCCTGTTGTAAAGTTCTATAAATCTATCAAGAGTTATTCTTAAAGGTTTAAAAGTTAAAATGTGGCAGTTAAATTACTTAAAATAAAAGTATATTTAGAAGATAACTATTACACAGTGTCTCACCGGATGCAGCCTGGCTACTTTCTAGGCTTACTAACGCCTACCCTGCCTTCCTGCATTGACTGTGTTTCATACTCCAGTTGGGCTCCACAGAATGTTATGTATTTTCATACTTTAACATCTCTGAAATCAAGATGCATTTTACAGTCAATGATAGGTCACAACCTTAACTGGCAGTGTTTTTCTTTTTAGTGGCGCATCTTCTAATCGATGGTAACTTAAATTTAATGAAATGTGGTAGAAAGTTCCTAACCATTACATCATTCATGTAGCATTGAACAAATACTTGATCTATGATATGTCAGACATGGTGAAGAGGGATACTTTGATGTATCTTTTTGTACTGTACACTTTTGTGGAAAATGACACCAAGATAGAAAGTATAATATTAAAAAAAAAAATCTGAGTTTTAAATCAGTGGAAAATAAAAGAATTTGATATTGAAATAAAAATGATAAAATCCTACTGAAGATCTGCAAATACCTAGCAAGAAAAAATGCATTAGGTTCTATCAAATAAAATCCAAACTGTTCAAAACCATAGCTCAAAATAATAGTATCCCAATACTTCAAAAAGTTCTTTGCTATTTTATCAAAAGAGAATATGTTGTTACTCAACTAATTTTATTTATTACTCAAAACAAATATTAGTTCTCTAATAACTGTACATTTTAACTCTGTGAAATATTTACTTTATAAGTAAAGTGACTTATATGAATACAGCCTCGTTCATCCAAAGTAAGTGAACATTTCCACAAAAGTCACTTACTGGCATGCGTTCCGTCACTCCTCCAATCTTAAAGTTCATCGTAGATCTCACGGTCTGGGCACCATAGTACTTATCATTTGGGACCTTGAGTTCACCAAAGGTATCATACTCTATCCGGAAGGAATTCTGGCTTGCCTGAAAACAAGGATAAGGCAGTGTTACAGCTTGAGAAGAAGCCAGGTATTAGCATCTTACCGGTTGTAAGGGGAAAGAAACCTTTGTCAGTAGCACACAGACAAAATATTCCATTTTGATTCTCATTCTACTCTCTGCCCTTACTTCTCCTTTCGAGAAACTTGTTACAGATTATAGAATTCATAAACCATGCAGATAATAGATTGTACCTTTAAACAAAGCTTAGCCATGACGTACAAACACTATGCATAAGAGATAGCATAGTAAATACAAACAGCAAAGCCTTTGCAGTCAGATAACCCACCACTCAGTCATTTTTTCTCATCTATAAATTAAAGTAAATGTATAGATAAGGGGAGACTCTTCGGAGTGATGGAACCCTCCAAGAATCTGAAGAAAGCTATGGATTCTCCTTCTAAAAAAAGGAACATAAACACATTTATGCATAACCTTACATATAATTTAGGGAGTTTACATCTCGAAGCCAAACTATGACCCAGAGTAAGAACTCAATCTCCCTTTTAGGAAGAAGCTAGGATGTGACCAAAGATCAACTTATTTTACTAAAATTTAGTAACTGTTAGTGGTAACTGTTTAGTAGACTCAAACTCCCTTTTCAGAAGAAGCTAGGATTTGAGCAAAGATCAACTTATACTAATAAAATTTAGTAACTGTTTGATAAATATCTATAATGCTATAAAAAATAACTTATTGTAAAACACTAGAAATTTGAAATTTATACACGATACTTTATTAAGGAGACATCAGAGAAACAGTCATTACTTTAATATGTTCATCTTACAATAGTTATGAAATAAACATGATCAGGTGATTTGAAATTTTAAAATCTCTAGCCAAGTAATTTTGTTTTAATAAATAAATAGTCCACTAACAAGAAAATTAATTTATAGATATCCCCTGGGAGTAGTGTTATAAAATACTTTATGATGCAGGAAAAGAAAATAGTCATTGTATCGAGATAGAAATACAGAAGTCTAACAATGAAGTACATTTTCTTTCTATGCCTAAAGGCAAGTAAAAAACCGGCCTAAGCCAACAAGCAGCAACAGCTAACAACAAAAATAATCACGTGCTGGCAGTCACCGCACTATGTGGCAAACCGCTCTTCATGTGTTGACTTTCACAACCAACCTACGATATTTTACTATTACATTCTTCACCTTAGAAGAGACACCAGACTTGGAAAGATTAAATAACTCAGCAAATTATCAGATAGCGAGAGAGAAGGCCTAGACCCAGACCCTGGTGTTCAGACAGCAAGAGAGAAGGCCTAGACCCAGACCCTGCTGTTCAGATAGCGAGAGAGAAGGCCTAGACTCAGACGCTGGTGTTCAGATAGCGAGAGAGAAGGCCTAGACTCAGACCCTGGTGTTCAGATAGCGAGAGAGAAGGCCTAGACCCAGACCCTGGTGTTCAGATAGCGAGAGAGAAGGCCTAGACTCAGACCCTGGTGTGTTGGACTTCAAAAGCTGTTGGGATTTACTTTTCTTTCTTTCTTTGTTTTGTGACAAAGTTTCACTATGTCACCCTTGGTTGAGTGCCATGCTGTCACAGCTCACAGCAACCTCAATTTCCTGGACCATAAGAGATTCTCTGGCCTCAGCGTCCCAAGTAGCTGCGACTACAGCCATGGGCTACAATGCCCACTATTTTTTTGTTGTAGTTGTCATTGTTGATTTTAGCTGGCCCAGGCTGGGTTTGAACCCACCAGCCTCCATGTATGTGGCCGGCGCCCTACCTACTGAACAATGGGTGCCACCTGGGATTCACTTTTCTATCACCAAGAAACTATGGGGTAACTCCAGGTCAGCTTACAACAAGTCCTTGAGTTAAACCCCTATTCTGTAAAATGAAAGGGCTGAATATGTACAGTTAGATTTTTCTCCAGTGGAGCTTGGTTGCACGGATACTACTATATACCAACTTACTTCCTACTCTGTAAACCAAAAACAGCTGTAAGGCTTTATATCTCCAATGCAGTTTTATATCTCAAATGCCTTGCAATCTTTGTTTTGGATATCCTAAGTAAATATCCTGGTATGTTAAACTATACTTAAAATCAATAACATAAGCAATGACATCAGTGGCACCAAGGATACTATGTTCTTTTTTCTTTTCACCACCTGTCATAGGACAGCAACAGGATGGTGACTCCAAAAAGGGAGAATGGTTTTCATCAGTGGTTTGTGAAATCAAGTTTGATTTCCTAAATTTCATTTCTTAAATCATCACAGTCCAAAATTATTACATTGTCATCATAAAAAAAAGCAGTAATTTTGTCCCCTAAATAACAGGTTGCTATGGTAATAATCAGATCCATTCAAAGTTACTTTGTAAGACCTAACAATGAATTTTAACTATGTTCTTCAGCTTAAACCTTAAAAAAAATTTAATTACAAATCAAGAAATAATAGTCTCAATCAAATCCTAGTATTTTTTGACAGTGATCAATCATTTAAAAAATGGAGACATCAATTGTGGCTGAAATCACAATCTTAGCAAAAACTTCAAAAATCTACTTCCTGTCTTCATAATAACAAAAACAAAATCCTAAATATGTAACAACGAACACTGTTGGCAGCAGCTTAGTTGGCTAATAAACTATTTTAAAAAGCAAAAAAAGTTTTTATCTCTTACTTAACCCGGAAATATAGGGGTTGCACAAATCTGTAGGACAGACACTGAAGCAATGCTGAAAACGATCTTTAAGGCACGCGTGACACACCTAAAGCAAATAAAGGATGGAATCCTGTGCACAGCAGGAAGGTAGAATGTGTCCCTCAAAACTGGTGCAAAAAAACCCCGATATAGATATGTAGACTGCTTCCTACACATGACAATCGTATTTCAATTACCCAAAGCAAGATATTATTTTAAAAGATGATAGGAGACCCAGAAGGGAACAGCAGGATGTATGGAATATTCTACACAAGAAAACACTTTGGGGCTGGGCACCATGGCTCACACTTGTAATCATAGCGTTCTCAAAGGCTGAGGCAGATAGATTGCAGGAGCTCACAAGTTAGAGAACAGCCTGAGCAAGAGCAAGACCTGGTTTCTAAAAATAGCCGGGTGCTGTGGTGGGCACCTGTAGTCCCAGCTACTTGGGAGGCTGGGGCAAGAGAATTGCGTGAGTCCAAGAGTTTGAGGTTGCTGTGAGCTGTGATGCCACAGCTATCCAGGGGGACAGAATAAGACTCTGTTTTCAAAAAATAAAAAAGAAAAGAAAGAAAAGAAAACACGGTTCAGACTAAGAAAATTAGAAAGTTGTACTCTATCACAAAGTTACACAAGTACCAGGAATGGGAGAAAAACTGTCAGAGGCGGCTATATTTGTGGTTGGCGTCTGTTAGATGAACACATACATAGAGACAGAGCAACAAGGGTCTGGGTCAGGAAACTGTCAAATTTCTTCAAATGTTCTTTACAATGACCCACAGAACAAAAAAAACTTTAATATCATATTCAGTATATATGTAAACACGTGCATATGCTCAGAAAAACCTAAAATAAAAATTTCATGAAATATGTCATATAGTCATATTTTCTCTTTTATTATTCCATTCTGTTTTTTAAAAAAACTGCTGATCACTACCCACAACACTGATTTCACCTCCCACTAATGACTCCACCTCCACATCGGGTTTGAAAAATACTTCAGTGGTTTTCAAAATCTTCCATCATCACAAACAGTACCTCTTCCCAGTAGCTTGGCCAAACAGAAAAGGGTGCTCACCTAAGTTAATGAGAAAATTATCAGTGCTTTTGATGAAAAATGAAGTGATGAATGGCATCTCTTAAATATATAAATAAGTTTCATATAATACAATCCATTACTGGAAAAAGCTAATTCTTTTTGGAAATCGTGTCTTCAAATCCCATTATTCAGTTGGCAGAATTTCAAGGAGAAGATAGTTGTCATTTCTGGGATTAATACCATGGTTTTCAGAATTTAACTAGGTATGCATCAGGCAAGCAAGAAAAATGTGATTTTCTAATGGTTTCTGGCATTTATAATCACTTCTCCTCCTGGGGAATAATGGATGGATAATTAGTCCAAGTTCACCTCTGTATGAAAGCTATTAAGTCCTAGACACGTTAAGTAAGAAGTACTGTTAACAGTTACTGGCCCCAGGAATCTCTGGAACTGAGGTAGTCCCAAAATTTGCATGCCAGAAGGGTTAGCTCCCAAAATATAAGCTTCCCAAAAAGATGTCTCGCATTAAACTAAACCATGGCATTTCCTAAAGAAAAAATAAAATGCTTTTCAGATTCCCAGGCTAAAGTAATTCAAAAGAGTATTTCAGTGTTCAAGAAAATCAAAATCCTTTTTTATGCAAAAAGACTATCACAAGAGTTTAAAAATTCAACATTTGATTTCATTGGGCTTTGGGTTTTCAGTTTCCTTTTTTTCCTTCTTTTTTGAGATAGTCTCACTCTTTCGCCCAGGGTCGAGTGTCGTGGCATCATAGCTCACAGCAACCTCAAACTCCTGGGTTAGTGTGATCCTCTTGTCTCGGCCTCTCCAGCAGCTGGGAATACAGATATCAACCAGTTTTTCTATTTTTAGCATAGAAGGGGTCTCTTGCACAGGCTGGTCTCTGAACTCCTGAGCTCAAGCAATCCATATGCTTTGGCCTCCCAGAGCGCTAGAATTACAGGCGTTGAGACACTGCACCCAGCCAGGTCAGTTTCTTTTTGAAAAAGCCAGTCCTAAAGTAGAGGGTAACTATCAAGTCCCAAAATAGGCAAATACATAATAATAGTGTATTGATATTACATAGCAATTTAGAACAAAATATTATTTATTTATAGACGGAAATTACAAGATCACGTTGCAGTTATTCACCTGTGATTTCGTCTCTTAACTGCGTTGCTTATTTAATCTCTCCCAGGATCTAAATTCTATGCTCATCAGGACCATTACATTTACAGGGTTCAATACACAGAAGGCATTCCATCAATATGCTTTCTAGCAAATGGACCTTTATGTGTTCTTTCCAATGAAAGCCAACTTAGGGCATCTAGTGTTTTGTAAATGTCTTCAACTCTAGCAACAGGAAGAACTTTTAATACAATCAACAGAGATCCTGGAGGTGAGAGAGAAGTTTAGGGAACAAAATATGCTTAAAAGTATGAAAAAAGAATATCTATCAGCTCGGTGCCTATAGCTCAACCGGCTAAGGCACCAGCCACGTACACCTAAGGTGGCAGGTTCGAATCCCCAGCCCGGACCCGCCAGACAACAATGACAGCTGCAACCAAAAAATAGCCGGGTGTTGTGGCGGGCGCCTGTGGTCCCAGCTACTTGGGAGGCGGAGGCAGGAGACTCGCTTGAGCCCAGGAGTTGGAGGTTGCTGTGAGCTGTAATGCCACGGCACCCTACCCAGGGGGACAACTTCAGGCTCTGTCTCAAAAAAAAAAAAAGAATATCTATCCTCATCTTATTTCAGCTATGAATAATATTACAACCATAAGAGGAAGGCAGTACTATTTTTTTTTTATTTGGCAGCTTTTGGTCAGGGCTGGGTTTGAACCGGCTACCTTTGGCATATGGGGCCGACACTCTACTCCTTTGAGCCACAGGCGCCACCCAACAGTAATATTTTTTTTACACTTGCCCCAACAAGATAGATCCAGAAGTTCTGTTCCCCTGCACAAAACATTAAATAAATAAATAAATAAAAGGTTAAAGATTCCAAAATACACTAAAATTATTCAGGTGGGGGTTCCAGGAATATAAAGCATCCTAAATCTTGTAGTTTCCAGGTATGATGATCCAATCGAATTATTTCAAAATTTACAGTCCAGAAAATGTATTGGTCCTCTGAACTATCCTAGGATGGAGCATTTGTTTAATGACCACTCAATACCTGGTGTATTCACATGTGCAAACTTGCAACAGTAGCTGTAATTATTTCAATTTTACATGTGGAAACTGAGGCACAAAGACAACTTGCCCAAAGTCTCAGTTGGGTAGTAGCAAAGTAGGATTTGAAATCCTCTCTCTTAGACTGCAAACCTCAACGCTAAACCACAGTGCAGAGTGCAGAACTGTAGCTCTTCCTAAACTGCCATTCATGTCTCAACTTTTTCTAACATTATACATATATACTTAGTGTTTTTTAAAGCCTGCTTGACCGAAGGTGTCGTTTAAAAGGCTTAGGTAAGCATGTCATAACTTGAACTTGGACCTTTTAAACTCCTCAGCTGTCTTTCTGAAGAAAAAGTACTGATTCAGCTTTAGTTAGGTCCAATCCAAACTACTCAAACATGCTACAGAATACTATGTCCGTGTTTAGGAATTAGAGTTTACAAAAACTGAGGAGGAAACCATATTCAGCCTAACTAAAAAGCAATCTCATGAGAAGTAAAATCTTTCAAGAGCCTCCAAACCCATCTGAAAAGCTGAAAGCAGTCCACTGCACCTTCGTGAACCAAGAAGCCACAGTTCTCGGGCCACTAGACGGACTCGTGGCCAGTGTCCCGCCAGCGAGGCCCACCTAATGCGCAGGGCGGGAGCTGCCCCTCTCCCAACATTCTCCTTCCACCCCGACCCTGCGCCCCAGCCCCACGGCTAAGCTTGTTACCCCAAACGCCCCGGCTTCCGCCGGCTGGGAGCTCCGGGGAGGAGCCAGGAGAAGGCCCAGCAGGACCCTCGCCGGCTGCTGGCCCCCGTCCCCACGCGCTCTACTGGCACAGAGGACCTATCCCGGTGCTGGAGGGGGCCCAGAGCCGAGCGCGCAGCCCAGTTCCCGGCGCGGAAGGAAAGCCCGGGAAATCCCTCCCGCCGGCCCGCGGGCGCCCGGGCCGGCGGGCAGGAGGACTGAAGGTCATCGCACAGAGGCCGGCCGACAGACGGCCTGCGCTCACCATTCGAGCCGCGTTCGGGACCCAGAATGGGGGGACGGCCGCGCCACTCGAGCCGGGAGCTGAGGCTGAGGCTGGAGCTCGCCGAAGGCGCCGCGACCGCGCGAGAAGACGGAGTGCTCGGTACATGGTGCTGTGGAAGCCTGGGTAGATTTTCTGAGAGGCCGTGGCCACGCCTCCACGCCGTCTGTCAGAGCCTGCCCGCCCACCTGCTCTTGGCCAATCAACAGCCTGAAAACCAGGGGGTGAGGTGGGACTAATCGTGAATGGCCAGTAAAGAGTGAGGGGGCGGGCTTACTTCCTAGCCGCAGTAGAGTAGTGGTTAAAACTCTCGGATTCATGGGAAACTAGAAAGAAGGGGATTGTGGGAAAGGAAGTTTAGGCTCTTCTTTCAGCCAGTTTGCTGCGTGTAGCGGTTTTAAGTGGGAAGTATTAGCTGATGAATCAGTTAGTGTTTGGTTGGTGAACTATCCTAGAAATAAATATTTATTTATTTTGTATTTGTAGTGTAATCACTCATTACTTGTTCTACATGAAATCCTTTTTCATTTTTTCCAGATACCTTCTGTGTACAAAATAAAACGCTCTTTTCTTTTTCACTTGTTATTTTGAGGTCTCCACAATTTCCTTTTTCTTCTTAGTCTGTACTCTCAGAATTTTCTTTTTTAAATGTACTAGAAAAGATGTCCATAATCATAGGTGGCCTCGGAATTTGTGCGATTTGTATACGCGTTCTCCAAGGTTTTTTGCATGGCTAATCAGATGCATTTTCAAATCAAGAAAGGTATGTAGTGTTAATGTAGTAGGCGACGACAGAAACTCAGAAACTTATATAAAATTGCAATCACAATATTGTCTCCTCTTTTTCTTTCTATTCCATGGAACCAGATGACAATTAATAGAATCACTAAATGCTATCCAGAATCTACAAAGGCAAGCTTATAAGAATATACGGCTCTGTTATACTTCTTGGAAACATTGTTTATGTTATTTTATGACTTCTAATTTTGACCCACATTTGAAATATACAAATTTAAGTTAGTATCTCTTCCCTCTGTCAATTAATGATTCAGAAATTACTGAAATACTTAATGAAAAAATGAAACCAACGATTATTTAGAAGGTATTAGGTCAGAATAAAAGAAAAAAATTCACAATCGATAAAATGGGCCACCTATTTCATGATATGTGTATGCTTTCCACCGTTAAAAAGAAAATAACTCTTTTAGTGTTAAATGTAAAGATAATAAAATTGTTTTGTAATATTGTTATTTTTGTCATTGGTTAGACAGAAAACTAAAGTAATAGACATTTACTAGCAAGTACTATCATTTCCTAAAAAATGGTATCATTTTGATGTATTTGCTTCATATCCTTCAAGAAATAAAACACTTTGCAATGGAGTAGCATTTCTCCCCCATATTCCCAACAGCTATTATTTTGATGTATATCCTCTCAGTTCACCTCTGTATTTTTTATTTCCCATACTGGTATGCAAACAATGGCTTTTAAATTTTAAAGTTTTAATGTCCTATGCCTGAATCCTATATTTTTGAGACATAGCCATGTTCTTTTTAACTTAATTGTATTGCCTTGCTTGAATATAAAACATTTATTTATCCAGTTTCTTAATACATTTTTTATTGTTCCACACTATGCTTTAATGAACATAAGTTTATGATTTCTTCATAGATTCTCTCACTCTTCATTGGGTAAAGTCCCTCTTTATTCCTATTTTTGCTTGTTATTTTAAACTTTTAAAAGTATTGATATTTCTGTATCTGTTTTGTATTGTTTATTATTTGCCTGATATATATTTCTTATTTTATTGGTTTTGAGCATATCTTTCATTTCTACCATACAGTTTAACTTTTTAAAGTCCATATGAATAGCCTTATAATAAATGGGTTATTTTAATCTCTTTTAACAATCATCTATGACACACGGTATGTTCTAGAAACTCTTCTTAGCACTTTACATGTATTCCTTCAACATTCAGAAACATCCTGTAAGATAAATCTATTATTATTCCTGTTAATAGAAAAGAAAATTGATGCCCAATAGCATTTGAGTATTTGTGTGCTTCCCTTTTATTTATCAGTGAAGCTGATTTGACTATATGCACCAGGATAGGAAGTTCCATTTTAATCTAAATAAATATGTATTAACTTGAAGCAAAATATTAAAGTATTCTAAAGTTTATATAAATGATTGAAATTTGGAAAATATAGGCTAAATTTATTTTCATTACTGAATAATAAAAATGTATGTAAATCTTTTAAATTAATGGTTGGCACTATACATCTTGCTTGCAGGATGCAACCTTTTATATTTTATCTATTTAGAATAATGTTTTGTTTTGTGTAGAGTTCTTTTTTTTTAACCTTGGACTTATCTGATAATAATATTGACTTGTTTTCTTCTTGTTGATAATTTCAGGGTTTGTTCGTGTTTGTTTTCCTTTGTTTTCTGTTCAAGTTAAGACTGTGATCAATGTCCTGCCATGAGGGACCAGGGAACAATACAATGTTTTTTTCTCTTACTTCTGTTCTAAATCTCAACACCTGATTGCTGAATTGATAGCAAGTTTCCAATGTTAAGGACCAAAATATCTTCATTATTCTAAATGAAGACTTTTGAAAATCCAGATTTAGCCTTGGAAGTTACCAGGGGATTTCTTATAGGAAGCGTACTAGAAAGTTTGGAAGACACAACTGTAAATGTTTCCAAGGAAGTAGGGCAAATATTTAAAGAGAAGGAAAATAAAAGAACTAAGTTCATAAAATTAGAAAAACAGTCCAGTGTGTCCAACATCTTACTGATATAAGAGAAACATCAGGAAAAGTAGAATGTTTTAAAAATTCAATTCAAGAAAATATATAGAACTAGTAGATCTGAACTAGCCAGAATCATGTCAACAAGACACGTTAAAGTACTGAAGGCAAAGAAAAGGACTTAGAATCCTCCAGAGAGAAAAATAAATAAGTCCCATTAAAAGGATTAGGAATCCTTAGAACTTTACAACAGCAAGGTTGGAAGCCAGATAACACGGTGTCTTCAAATTGTTGAAGGAAAATTATTTCTGACTTTTAATTCTATACCCAGCCAAATTAAGTGTGTGGATAGAATAAAAATATTTTCAAAGAAAAAAATATATTGTCATGTTCATATCAAAAAATTTACTTCCTATCTACCTTTTTTTTTTTTTAGAAAACTCGAGGAAGCACTCCACCATAACTAGGGAGTGAACCATGAAAGAGGATGTTAGGAGCTTCAGAAAATAGGGTCTTTGACACAGGAGGTAGATATGGAAGATTCCCTGGATGAGGGTGTGACAGCTGTGCACTAAGCACAGAGATCAACCATCTGAGATAGAAGCAAATTGCAGACTGAAGGAGATATTTCGTCAAAAAGATAAAAGTTGCTAATGCTTTGAATGTATTGAGAAGAGATTTAGATGATGGGGGAAGAGTTTGGAGATTGAATTTATCATCAGTTTTAGAAAAGTAACCAAAAGGGAAAAAAATGACAATTACTGAAAAATAAAAACAGTTGCACTTTGCAGGAAAGATAATAATTATCTAATTTGAATGGCTACTGTTACAATAAATCATATTATCATATTAATCTAACAAAAATTATGATGTAACTATATTGAAAGAAGGGAGAGATGGAAGAATATGGGGGATTGGAGAGATTAGGAAATAGTGAAAAAAACGTTAATCCTGGCTCGGCGCCTGTGGCTCACGTGGCTAAGGCACCAGCCATGTACACCCAAGGTGGCGGGTTCAAATCCAGCCCGGGCCTGCCAAACAACGATGATGGCTGCAACCAAAAAAAAATAGCCGGGCGTTGTGGCCGGTGCCTGTGGTCCCAGCTACTTGGGAGGCAGAGGCAGGAGACTCGCTTGAGCCCAGGAGTTGGAGGTTGCTGTGAGCTGAGATGCTACGGCACTCTACCCAGGGGACAGCTTGAGGCTCCTGTCTCAAAAAACAAAACAAAACAAAACAAAACAAAAACGTTAATCCTTAGCTTCAGTAGTAGGAAGTCATGATCGAATACCTAAAACCACAAACTTACAAAAAAAAAAAAAAAGGAAGCAATATTTACAGATGTGGAAGTATCTATCTGCCAATTGGAAATGACACTGTGTATGATAAATGGCAGAAAAGTACCGTGGGCAATTATTATTTATGTTGGATATTTGGAAGAAATTTTTTATCTCCAGGACTATGTGTCTGTTCAAAGACTTTGCAAAACACTAAAATTAGCAACAAAAAGAAGTTAAACACCCCCTCTCTCCATTTCCCAAGAAAAAGATCAATTCCTCTACTAATGCTGGATTTCGTCTCCCTTCAAGGACCTTTTCACTCTTTTCCCTACTTTACTGGCCCCTGCCATAAGTTGATGCATATATGGCTTTGCTATCTTAGTTCTTAAATTAAATACAAAGAAACAAAAGCTGCCCCAACTTTGCACACCGTTGCAACTCCCTCCTCACTTCATTTTTAGGACATAGGTGATCAACATCTTCACTTCTCATCTTTCCTCCTTTTACTATTACAATCTGCCTTCAGCATGAATCATTCCACGGATGTTGCTCTTGTCAAGGTCGCCAGTGACCTCCAAGGTGCAAACTCAGTGGACAGTTTTCTATGTTTTCAGCAGCACTGACACCATTGACACACTTCCCCTTTGGAAATATATTTCTTGATCTTTGAGATACTGAACTCTCCTTCTCTCCCTCCCCACCCCCAGCCTCACTTTATTTCACTGGTTATACCTTCACGCTATTCTTTGGTAGATCTTCACACATAAATAAGCTCAATCTTACCTTGTCTTACCTTTTTTCTTTCTTTCAAAAAAAATTTAGGCCAGGTGCTGTGGCTCACACCTGTAATCCTGGCACACTGGGAGGCTGAGGCTGGTGGATTGCTTGAGCTCAAGAGTTCAAGACAGGCCAAAACAAGAGCAAGACACCATCTCTAGTAAAAATAGAAAAACTAGCAGGGTGTTATCGTGGGCTTCTGTAGTCCCAGCTACTGAGGAGGCTGAGATAAGAGGATCTCTTGAGTCCAAGAGTTTGAGGTTGTTGTGAGCTAGGATGCCATAGCACTCTACTCACGGTGACAGAGTGAAACAATGTCTCAAAAAAAAAAGAAAGA